AAACAGAACACCTAATTGCAGTAATTAACTGATTCTCCGAACTGAAGAATCGCTGGCGGCTGTTTCCTCCCATTTTGGGATCCTTCGAACCCATCGAAAGGCGAATCCGTCGAGTGGCTCCTTCTCAGCAGGCCCTGTGCGCGCCGACGCATCGTCAATGGGCCAGGGCTCGCCATAGTGGAGGTACTCGTTGTGGTAAAGGATGTAATAAAAATCCTCACCGAACCTGAAAAGCCGCTCCAAACATCTCCAGACGGCTTCTTCAAACATGATTTCACCGCTTTCAAACAAGTTCATGCCGGGATAGGGATAGCAACGAGATCGCATCTGTTTGCAGAATTCGGGTCATCCTGGTGTTCATCTCACCCAGTTCCATAAGCTCTCAACAGTGCTGCTAAACATTTGCGCACACATCCATTGCTTCTTTGGCTCGTTCTGCCCCCAACATGTTCGCTTGCGATCTCTTTTGCCATTCTTTTGCCCAAGTATTATCCAAATATAAAACGTAATGCAAATTCTTGGACTCTTGATTAATAAAACCCCTCCACTTGGATTGTAAGAGTTCTTCATATGGAGGATTGACAACATCATCAACCAGTCTACCTACAGTTCTTCGATCGATGACCTCGTGGTCTTTTTCGGGACTTTTGTCAAGGAACTTGGCTGACATCTGATTCACTGGTGGCATCTTGCCGACCAGCGTGACAGGTGGTACGCTCATCACACATAGCCTGGCCGACCAGCAGGGGTTCGGAACGGTGCCTGGCACCACCGGCTGGAAAGGCTCGATGTCAAGGTCCTTGTATTAGGTCAAAGATCTCATTTCACTGGAGTTGATCATACAAAAGGCACTACTCAATGAGGTAAAACATGGTAAAACCAGCAAAACTTCCTTTGGACTTGCAAAAGACTAACTAGACCTAGCACTGCAAGCGTAGTCCAGTCTGGAACGGGCATTGCATGACACGAAAATCCTGGTGGATCCTGCAGTGGCCAATCTTCACATGTCGTTTTTGCGGTTCCTCACTACCCAAATGTCCTGCACTAGCGGCAAATCATGAGAAACTCCAAACGGCATTTGCAGGGATTGATACACCTCCAGAAAAAGATATCGGAAGAGTATCTTTGTTTCTTTCATCAAAACATGGATCCTGGAGCTTTGACGCACCCAGGTTTTCATCATAGTTTCACGCCCGTTGTGCTGGGGCGCAGCCAAGGAATGGTTGATTATAGTTGACAACTATATCGTTATATAATGTATCCCAGTAAAAGCAGTCCAAGATATTCCAATCATTTCACATCTACCCATACTTGACTCATGTTTACTCATACGTTTGAAGCGGATGCAAACATTTTTTCCAGCATTGACAATACTTTTTGGGGGCTCTTCGGCTGAAACTGAATCTGTCAAACCGGTGCCTTGGAAAGGCCTCTGGATAGAGGCATCCCAAGTGCCAAGCCAGAATCCTTGGAGCAGCTCAGCAAAGGGTAGGATGAATCGTGAACATTACTGAAATGCTTCACGGCAAGTCAAAGAGTAGGTACCAGTGGCTTCCAACCAGGCTGCTTCGATCTTCCACAGGGTTGATCAGGGAGTGCCTTTTCTCGAACCCGGGGGGACCGTTTGCGTGTTCAGTCAGGTAGCAGCGGGTGATCATCCTGAAGTCATAGGCAGTCTAAGAAATCGATCCCAGCCCATTACATTGACTAGACTCCGACTCACAAAAATGGGACAGACAATGGCCAGCTGGACTGCAAAGACCGTTCTCCTCTACAAACAGGTGGTTTCCACTACCATATGTTAGTCAGTGAGTCGAGTCGGGATGACGTTCCAGCCAATCCTTTCAATGGATCGCGTGGCCGCGTGGCGACGAATTCTTTTTCTGTCAGAAGGGCGGGTCATGGGGGGTGGGTTTTTGGGTTTTTGCTTTTAGGAATTTTTAGAAGTTTGAAGGGACACCTTTCATCACAATCCTCAAAAACCCACCCCCCCTCACCCGCCGCTCTCTTTTCTGTGCCGGCTATGCCACATGGAAAGCAGTCAATGTCCAACAGCTTGACAGTCATGAATTCAGAATCTGGTTCTTACCATAGAGGCCCCAAATATTCCCAATTCATCTTAAATTAAATACTGAAATGTTTGAAACTATAGGGTCCCACATGCAAGTAGCATACAAGTAGCCAATCTTCTACATGTCTACCCTGCAAGGACCATTGGAAGGGGTCCAAACAGTATATAATCTAAAGTCGTCCAATGAATACCCGTCGAATCACCTCCGAAATTCTGCTCTTGGCCAACATATCTCGGATTTCCTTGCACACCGTCTGGACAATCAGATTCTGTTTCGTGGGAAAATGAATGTCCTCGTGTTCTTGTTTCCAATGTACATATCTTGTTGTTTAGAGATGTTGTGGGTAATTTAGACATGATCTTTTTATATCTTGTTCAACCCCATGCACCAGCCTTCCGCTCCAATTGTTCAACGCAAAGCTTTTCAAAACCCTGGTCCCGTCGGCCCGTCGGAACCCCATGCACCAGCTTTCTGCCAGAAATCGCACCCCAATCGTGACCGACGAGCGCGTAACAAGGCTTCTTCAACAACTTCAGGAGAGCCAAAAGGTCTTGTCCAATGCACTCCTCAGCCACTCTGAGCAAAAGGGCTTGTGTGAGCGGGCTGAGCGGGGCCACATCGATGGGGAGGTCAAAATGGTGCTGAAGAAAGCGTCCATGTTGGCCAACGATTCCTCATCTCTCTCGTGTCCTGCAACCCTAGAGAAGGTATCATGACCCAGAAAGAAAGGACGCCGGAAGGCCCACCCCATAGCCGTATACCGTATGCATGATAGCGCATTTATTATATCTTATACAGTAATACATAGTAATACACTATCTGTTTTTTGATATATATATAATATGTTTCCCTCTCTCTCTCTCTCTCTGTCCCTCTCTCTCGCTCGCTCTCGCTCTTTCGTGTCTGTGGCAAAACAGGCTTTTGAGATTGTTAGTTCCCTCTTGGTCTGTTCGCTTTTGGGTGTTCACAGGTGGGGAGCGAATAGAGAAACAAACGCGTATCCACATCAGAATCATACCATCGAAACAACAGCTCCAGCGAAACAACACATTGACATCTTATTGAACTTTCTTGAACATCATCGTCCCTCTGCACCATCAAACAAATATCAAGAAATATTAGACTCGACCACCAATCCTTTGGCCCATTCAAGCCTCTAAGCCATCTGAGATTCGGATTCCGCCCTCTGTCCAGCCGAAAGTCACAGTCGTAGTCCTCCACTGCCAGCGGCGCCTCCGTCTGCCCAAAGCCGCGAAGATCCGGTGCGACCGCGTAGTACGAGGCGTTGGCCAAAGCCTTCAGCTGCCATCGCCAGGAGTACCTGGGAGCGTCGAACATGCGTAGACAAAACGTGTGGCAGGCTTCTGGAGAGTTCTGGTGAATGCGGGCTGTCTAGAAAGAAACTGCACAAAAACGACACATCACCAATCACCTATACTAAGAGGTTGTTGCTACTGTTACAAGTAGGACTCCTAGGAACAAAACCAGCAAGGTAGAGGCAGGTCAATGGATCAGTGGCAGAAATCTTCATCTTCAGCCTCAACATCAATGCATTATGTAATTTGTTGTTGGATGGAGGACAATCCAAAGAATGATTGCTTCCTGACCTTGTTCATCAAAATACACAAAAGACCCACTAGCGTCCTAGTCCAGTGCCTTCCACCCCACAACATCCCCGTTTTGAAGAATGAATATGTATGTATATTATATACCTAGAACCCAGTTGACCTCCTTTTTGATAGAAAAAAACATATTTTGGATAGTTGATATTCCCAAACAGGAGTCATTCAGGTTTTGGGTTATATGTATATATACATCTAGGGCCCAATGAAGGGAAGTGGAACTCCTACCTCTAAAACGTCCCAGTTTGGTGTGCCACCCCGGCGTTCTTTGTTT